CGCTGTGTATATTGACTCGGACACAAAGTGATTTACTGTGTAGCCAACATCCATTAAGAAGATGATATCACTTAGCAATATGTTAACAAATATTTTCTATGTTCAAATATTATCAATCTGCAGCATAAATGGTTGTAATTTCTATTATTAGAATGGTACAAGAAAGAAATTTACAATGATTCTTGTGGTTACTCAGAATCGTTTCTTACAGTATTTTTGGATTGTAATGAATTCTTATGATAAAAAAATTATTAAAACTACTGTTAGCATAAGAAGACTGTTTTTTAAAAATTCAGTATTTTCCATCATCTTTCTAAATTGATTTTCATATTATAGTATTTTATTCATGTGATATGATCAGGACAGATCCAAGAGGAAGAAACTGTACTGATACATGCAGGGGCCAGTGGTGTTGGTCTGGCAGCTGTTCAGCTTGCAAGGCTTGCCAATGCAACAGTCTTTGTTACAGCTGGCTCTGAGGAAAAGATAAAAAAAGCAGTTGAGCTAGGTGCCAAAGTAGGATTCAATTACAAACAAGAAGATTTTTCTGAGAAAATATTACAAATAACTGAGGGTAAGACAAATTTCCACATTTATTAAACTATTATCATGTTGAAGGTGTGATGTTAGAAGTGTATTTATGATCACTTCTGATACCTTTGATCTGTACTTTTAATTAAAAGTTAGTTTTATTACATTTACAGTTGTTTTGTGTAGATGAGAAAAATAGCAATATTTTCAGTGCAGCAAAATTATTTGATAAGTATTAAATATATATGTATATATACCCAACTTACTTTTTTGTTTTACCATTAACTACATAACGAAAACTCTTCTTGATATAAGACACATTATTTATTCTGTGTCTACCATTGACCAGACAATGTAATAAAATCATCCACATTTTGGGAGGAAGAAAATTCCTGAATGATGTTTAATTCTTCCATTTTTAATTAGGTTTCTTCCTGCAGTTTCCTATTTACATGGTTGGTTTTGAGTATCAGGATACTGAATTGAGGAATGGGAACTAAACTCAAGTCATTTTGAGGTTCTGTTTGGTATATGTTCAGTAAGAGTTCTACACCATTATTGCCATCTGAACTAAGTATATGATAAATTAAACCATCTGTAATCATGCTTATTTTTTTTTGTTTTTGTGTGTGTAATGCTAATTTAGGAAAAAGTGCAGATATATCGTAAACCTGAGTTGCCAAGTTGCGTGTTAATATGTAAACTTGAGAATGAGCTGAATATGGTGATAATTAGGAGTAGAAGTTTGTTGAGTTGAGAATATGACTGAAAACATTAGTGTGCACGCTAAGGATCATGATTGTTAACTGGTTAGGACTGACTTAAATTCAGTATGTATTTTGTATGTGGTCTTGTACTATTTGCCACTTGTTTTGCTGCTGATCCTTAGCTATCATTCCTCATACATGTAATTATTTAACCTAAACTTGCTTCTCTGTTATTTAAAACATTTTCTTTTTTTCAAATTTGTGTTTTGAACTTAAGTTTCCTTGGTTTCATAAGGCTTGAACTTTTAAATTCTTTCTGCATGAGCCAGGCTTAAAAAGTTCATGAACACCTTTCACCCAGCTCTTTCTGTTGCATGAATTTTCTGTCAAAATATTTCTTAATTAATTTTCAGTCATAAGTTCTGCTGAGGTGATTAATTTTTTCTATATCAAAATGTTTTTATAGGAGTCTTCTTCAAATCTTGAGTATCATCTAAGAAAATCTGTTTGATGGATAGTTTTATTGAGATTGCACATTTTTAAATAGTGTGTCTGTAGTTTCCGTGTGGTAAGCATAGTTATTTGGATAAAAGATTAGTAGCTTTTATGTTTCATTTTAATTTGAGCCAGGTGTGGCCTAGTGTATTGTGCTGGGCTACAGATTGGAAGTTTAAAGCTTTTAGCCATAATATGTTGTCAAAAATGCATACACATTGCACTATCAACTGTAGGAGTGCCATAAGTGATGCAGTTATTTTTGTTATTTATTTAGGAGTAAGAGTGTAAGGAGCAGGTACTTTCAACTGATTGATCTTCTGGTCAGCATCATAGATTAAGGATGGCTATGTCTAAACCTTATGGCTGTCTTACCTGGCCACTTTACCCATGTGTTGCATAAGGTGCTGTTCAGGTTGAAAATACAATATCTTTTATTTCAATTTGAAAATAGAACCTGTTTGTTTCTATTCAGGACGAGGAGTTAATGTCATTCTTGACTGTGTGGGAGCTAGCTACTGGGAGAAAAATGTGAAAAGTATTGCTGTTGATGGACGTTGGATTTTGTTTGGGCTGTTGGGTGGCAGTGAGGTGAATGGAGACTTGTTAAAACAACTCTTAGCTAAGAGAGTACGGCTAGAAGGTACAACTCTAAGATCTCGCAGTGTGCAGGTATTAATTACTTGTCTCTTTCTAATGTTTCTTTGGGAGATTTCTTTACATTTAGAAAAATGATGAATATATGTTACAGAACTGAATAAGTTAAGCTTTGAAGCTAATTTTTTACAATTTGAACAGTTTTTGCAGTTATTTTCACATCAACTTATTTGGTCTAACTCTGCTCACTTGCTTAGTAATATTAGAAATCAGATTAGTGTTGTAGCTTTGACTTCTTCTTTTGTATAATTATTATTGTGAATACAAAAGATTTCAAAATTTAAATTCAGAGAAATTAATAGCTCTGAAGAATTTTTGGATAAAGATAAGAGAGACTAAGAAAATCTAAAGATATTTTAAATGATTCAACTAAGTTTGCGAAGTTACACCTGACCATTGGGAAAAAGAGGGGCTAGGTTACAAAAGTACCATGAAAAACAATATATCAATATTGATCATTAGGCAGTTGTTCAGGAGCTTTTTATGGTCTTCATAAAGTTCATAAAGAAGTAGGTCCATTGCAACTTACACTTTCTAACATTAAAACTTTATCATGCTTTATCTGGTTTTTTGGTTCAATTTTTGAAGACTTACCACCAATGAATACACACTGAAAAACAGGTTTGACTTCTACACTAAAATTCAACAAGTTGAGTTTGATAGCAATATTTATTACACCAGCTTTGATGTTCAATTGGTTTATACATACATGTTATTTTATAGAATAAACTATACAGTTGAGTGTTGATTTGACTTCACAGTTGTGTACTAATTTGATTTTTAATAACAGCTCTGACAATCTCAGTATTTCCAAGTTAGTATTTTTGAAATTGGTGAATTTTGCAACAAAGACATCATTTTCTTCTTGGTGGCAGAATTCATTGATTAGATTGATGATGTTACTATGGGTTCCTGATTGATGCCTTCTTTGGCCACTCTTTTTCTGTGCTATCATGAAAAACATGTTGGAAGACTGTCCGTAATCATTCAAACTGCTTTGTAACTGTAGCTTTATAGATAATACGTTGACCATTATTCAAAACATTGATTCAATTTCTTGAGTACTCGAACAGTAAACAAAGCAGTATAAGACTCATAGTTCAACATCAGCAAGATCATAAACTCTTCTTTTTGGACCCTTTGATTTGGTCACTTCCAACAAGTATACCATAACAAAAAATTTACTGGTTTCTATTCTAACTTTGCAAGCTTTATACCAAGTGTTTCTAAAGAAAAGTTGGGTAAGAATGTCAGAGAATTTTCATGTTAAAATGGTTTTTCTTTATATGTTATTGACAGAATACTTTATAATTCTTGGAGTAAGTG